CCAAATTCGTTCTCTCTTTAAACACGATCGTACGATCGAGATTAAATCGCGATAAACAGTCCATATTCATTACCTCTTTAAACGCTATCGAGCGGTTCAAATCAAATGCGATGAACGGCCCAAATTAACACGAGATAAATATAAATATTTTCGCATCACATCAAATCCAAACCCTAGCTGCCAGCCTCCCGCCGAAGAAGAAAACCGACTGCCGACCCTCGCCGCGCCGGAGTCACATTCGACCGCCAAAAAAGGTAAATATTCTCCTATCCGTTCGGAATTTAATTTCGAGCACCACCATAGCCAAATCGGAGCAAAAAGAACGGCAGGTGAGAAAAAATACGGGCAAAGTCTAGTGGCGGCACTGCGGACAAAACCTGAAACCTCCTCTGATAAACCTCTTCTAGTTTCCCATTTCGTGCGATTTTTCCACTATTGTATTCACTGTTCTATTTTATACATATTGACTGAAGAAAAACGCTCAACAGCAAAGGTGAGCCGACGTAGCCACCACACTGGAAAATTTCAATGCCGGTAGATTTTTGTTTTTTTAATTTTACCAGCCAACCTAAGCCTCCTAATGTATTTTCTCGCAGAGATGGGTATAAAACTGGTCGAAATTGGCCAAAACTGGTTGAAAACGGCCAGTCCGAAGTAAACCACCACCACAGGCGCAGTGCTGTCGCCGGAGCATGGCAATGCCGCCATGCTGGAATTCCAAAATTGGTTAGAAAAGATTTTTAACATCGATTTTGGATTTTTTGGGGTATTTTTAGGTACGTGAAGTGTGTTTTAATCTTTGCAGAAAAATTCAGTAAACCTGGAGACTGCAGTAGGTGTAGTAGAAAGTTCGATATTTCGCACACCGATTCAAGTAAGAATCACTCACTTTATTCTCTGAAACTTAATAATCAGTAATATGGTATTTTGTATAATTTAAAAAATTTTGAAAATAATTGTAAGTTACCAATGGAGCCGAAAACTGGTTAGTCATTTATTTATTATTTTGTTTAACTGATTATTGAATTTATAGCTTAAAATACATGATGATATACTGAAATTGTTAAAAAATTCAATTGTACTTCCTTAATATATATATCGTTTGTCTTGCGTAATTTACGGTTGATTTGTGAAATTAGTAATTAATATGCAAACGACAAATTATTTGGTCATGAGAATTAATGAATGGTAGCCTTACTAGATATCCTAATAAATGATGGACAGATCAGATACATAAGGAACCCTACTGTGAATATTGTCTCATATTGGATGGGGTATCGAGAATTGGTATTTTTGGCGCTCATACCGGACGAGGTATGAGGACGACCCAATTCACCCTCATACCAAACGGAATATTGAGAGATAGTATTTTTGGTGCTCATACCAGACGGGGCATGGGGATAGTCGGTTTGCTGATAATGTTGGATATGAGTTCATGCGTAGTGGAACATCCCTGTGGACCATCAAGGATACCAGTAAACAAATAAAAAGATTTATTATTCTTTCTCACTTGAATATGAGATTGAAATGTTATTTGAGTTATTATCTCTATAAGTCGATTTTGAAAATCTCGCAACGTTAAATATATGTAATAAATGATTTTTCTTACAATAAATGAATTTACTTAAATCAAGAGTTTTATTGGTTGTTTTTATGATTTTTACCAACCTTCAGTTTCTGTATTGGTGAGTAGTGTGATATTCTTACTTAACTAGTATAACTCATCATTTCATTAACTATTTTAGATCAAAGAGGATTAGGACCCAGATCCCGATCAACAAGAGGGTTGTGAATAAGTTCACTACCTGAACTCCCTTTAAAAGTTAGTGAAAGTCGTCCTAAAATACTCAGTTATTTGCCTTTTATTTATTTATTTGATTTTCATTTGTTATTTTAGAAGAGACATTCTCGTATCCTTATCGGACATCTTAAATTATTGTGTAAGAAATGTGAACCCTAAACTCTATTATTTCACTTCTGTACTTAATTCATGACTTTATTTTTTTTTAAGTTTCGAGTCTTTACATTTACGTCCTCTTGCTTTGAAGCAATTTTACAATGCTTTGGGAAAAATATTATTCCTAAGATTAACAATCAACAAAAACTCTATTCAACCTCATCAACAAGCTACTACAAAAACTAGAACTTCAAAATAAGCTATAGATACGAACCTTAGGATCAAGCCCTCTTACGCTTAAGTGACTTAATATTTTTCACGACATAACCAATGACTTCCTTTAGAGTGGCTTTGCGTCCTTCTTTGAAATTCCAAAGCTCAGGAACAACATATCTCCCACTTGGGTTATACTCGTTTAACTCTTTCAAAGCTGTCACCACAGCCTTATGAATCTCCTCACCCCATTCTAGTATGAGATTTTTTAGCTTTTCATCTTCTTTATCTACTGTTTCCTGCAACATTCACCATTGTCAAATGTAATTGAACTGCTAAATATTGAAGACCTGTTAAGTTTAAGAAAATTCTTTTTTTTAGTTTTGAGAAAAATTCACTTTTTTTAAAATAAAGAAAAAATATGTGTAGTACAATAGTATTTAAAAATATTTTCTGATTGCATCGAAAAATTAGAAACCTTAAAAAAAGATGTTTTCATTTTTGGAAACCATTCGGAATGTAAATTTAATTTTACATAAACATAAAATTAAGTTATCTTCCCCCAAGCAACCAGCCAAACTCACACTTACTTTATCCTCCACATAACTGCTTTTACTTTTCTTTTCATTTCAACTTTTCAGTATTCTATATTTTCTTGTTTGAAGATTCCATCTTATCCTTTCTGATTCAAAATAACTAAAAATTAAGAAATACAACTACTCCTAATTAAAAAGCATGTGAACTATATTTTTAATAATATAAATTTCTACATTAATTATGTCATTATTTTTCATTTTAAGCCACATAATAATAAAACATGTTTCAATAACTAAACATACTTTCTATTTTCAGGTTTTTAAAATATTGTTTCCTACAACAAATACAATCTGGTCTAAGTTTCTCCTTGAAGCCATAAAGAATCAATCAGTTAAATGTCGGAGGTCAAAAGATGAGATATCTCTTCCCTCTCCCCCCAGCCTGTGCTATATGCACCTTGTGATGGAATCAGAAGTAAATACATTTTTTATTTCATCTCAGTACAGACATCATAAAGGTGAATGAATGTGTGCTTATCACAAGGAACTTTAGCACATCTTGAGGGTCACTGTCTATGAAGGAAATAGATTATGGAAGAAAAGATAATCGATGGAATATATGAGCCCAAACCAATTCGGTTTTGTGGGCTTTCTCTCATTTGAGGAATGGCTTATTTATTGAAGGACATACGCTGGCAGCCCAGGTCTAAGTAAGTTCTCCTTTGGGTGTATAGCACAATGATACTTGTGATTCTAGCCCTATTCTTGAAAAGTTTGAAAAGAGATTAAAAAGCTTTCTGATGGACACATTACCCTCATTAAGATTATTATCTTAAGCATACCTATTTGCTTTAGGTCCTTTCTTATTCTAGAAGTATGGCCAAACAATTGGAGGATGCTCAAAATAGATAATTTGAGGTAAGTCCTGAAGATCAGTTCAAGTACCAGCATTTAAAAAGGAGAGTGCTTAATTTTTCCTAAGGGATTGGGAACAGTATAACAAGGGATTGGGAAGAGTTTCTCCTGCTGGTTCCATTTATGGTGAACAAGAGTGAATCCACAAATTTTTACATAATTCTTGGTGTGGATAGGTGCCTCTGGAGCAAAATTCTTAGACATTTGTTATAGCTATAGAAAACAATATTTCATGTAGAAATTGTTTAATGGATTGTAGCTATCAAAGGTGGCATCTACAGATGTGCCTTTCAAACCAAATGTGTGTGATTGGGAATTTCAATAGATGGAATAGTTTTGCTTAAACTCTATTCACAACTCAGAAGGGGCAGATGACAGGGGGCAGTAGAATGGATCCTTCATTCGACCGGAGTTCAGAACATCGAGTCTTTTTGTAAGGTTACCGGGAGTCCCCTTTTTCCAAATAGTTGGTAATACACGAGAATCACGCACTGAAATGTGAAAAAATATGCAGAGTGTACCTGTGCAGTGCCTCCATCATTTGTGATTTTGAATGGATGCCACGCTGGATCTTTCAGATTTTCTTGCCACAATGAGCAAAGAGTAGAGGCCTCTACATCTACTTCTGCAATAGGAAATCTCTGCTTGCAAGTATTCAGGAAAGGCTTTTGATCAAGTTCTCCCATTCTTTTAATCCCAATATTAGTGCGGTTGCCCAACAGCTCTGTCAAACCCTGCACATAGAGATTGTTCATAACTTAAATGTTTATTGATAAGCCGGAGCATGTGAAGCCATAACTAATCCAGGCTATTACTTGAAATACAAAATAAGCTAAGAATATTTACACACACAATTTCATAAATGCGTTTGATGCCAGTTCCAATATCCAGTTCCAATATCGTCAAGGAGTTAGCAAGACAACAGCTTGTGAAATACTGTCATTTGAAGTTTTTCAGGTGATTAGTGATCAATTTTGTTTTGTTTTTTAAGTAACATTCAGCTATCCACTAGAATCCATTGAAAAAGGTATTCAGGATAAGTACAGTAGTATTCAAATTTCCAGTCAAGTTTAAACCTATTGGTCATGGCTTGTCCAATGGATGCTAGAAAACCAAATTGCAAACTCGGGCATCTATTAAAATCAACATATTATATACCAAAATCATATGCTCAAATTCACTACTGCAAATAAATTCCCAAAAATAAAATAAAAAAGAAGTTATACCTTAATTAATTCTTTACGTGCTTCTTGCAGCTCATCATTGCTCTGGCGTTCTTTGACAATAAGAACTTGATTTACTTCCTCCAAATCAGCTAAATCCTCAATCTTCTGAGCCAATTCATCCGTTATCTCTTTCACCTTTTTTTGGACAGCTGCATCATCTTCATCTCCAAGATGCTTCATCACCTCTAGTTTCCCTTTCAAGTCTTCGATTTCCATTTCTAACTTCTGTTTAGCATCTAGCTGTCTTTCTAGCTCAAGTATCTTATGCAGAGCCTCTTCCTTCTCCCTCTGAAAAGAGAGAAATCCATGTCACTAAAAACTAAAAATAAGACTTACACTAAGACAATTTTCATAAACATAAAATCCTAGAAATTAGCAATTAATTTTTTTGAAATAAAAAGTATAATATGTTTCATTAATATACAAGCACAAAAGGGTACTAACCCATATACAAAAGTATCTACATGTCAATCAGGATATCAATAAGGTCATAGAGAATTGGGTCAGCAGAGACTGGGTTTGAGATATGTAACTCAGATGAATCAGACACTTCAGGATAAGTGGATGTGGTGCTTTATGAAAGAGGAGGTATTCCTTGGAGGAAGGTTATAGAGGTGAAATACGGCACTATGGATAGAGGGTGATACTCTAGAGTATTAGCTAGACCGTATAGTAAGGGGTTGTGGAAAAAGAAATTATATAGGATAGAAAAAATTTCAGAAATACATTAATTGGAGAATAGGAGATGGCGAGAGAATTGGTTTCTGGTCGGACTTCTGGTTTGAAGGAGGAGCGCTGAGAGACAGGTTCCTTCAGTTTTTTACCATTGCACGTTATAAGGAAATTTCTGCTAGTGTCTTTTAGAGATGGTGGGGAACACAGGGAGTGGAATCTGGAGGTCTTGCAGAATCTCAATGACTGGGAAATAAATGAATATGAATCTCTTTTGAGTACCTTGGAGTCAGTTTCATTAAACGAGAATTATGACCAACCAGTTCGGACACTCAGTGCAACTGGGAATTTCACTATTAGGTTCTTCTACCGAGATTTGGCAAAAGAAGAGCCCATCGAGAACAATTTTCCGTTCAGACAAATCTGGAAAGGTGAGTGCCCCTTTCCAGCAACCAGTGCACTTCATCTTTCCAAAATGCAATTGAAACCCTAAAGCCCTCAAATTCTCACACATCCTTATTTCTTTCAATTCTTCCCCTCAAAAGACGACATTAAAAGTTTTGTTCTCGATTGCCAGAAATCTTCTATCCTAAGGACCATTTCAACTGGCCCCTAGGTCGATAATGTTGGCCGTGCAAGTGTGCTCAGCCAATGTTTGGTTGCCTTCACTTGGTTGGCAGAGCGTCCGACCACAGCTCTCTCTCTCTCTCTCTCTCTCTCTCTCTCACCTTCCAGAACAAATGTCAACAGCTCTCTCTCACAGTGAGATCTATCACAATAAGTACTATGTTAGCAACCGGGATACACAAGACAAGCAGCATCCATTCCATGAAACAGCTCCAACACATTAAAACATGAGATGACAAAGAGAATTATAATTTAGAATTTAGTTAAAAGCATTACATGTAACAACACACCTTTTGCTCCTCAGCAAGTCTTAAGACATTCTCATCTGCCTTCTTTTGCTCTATTGAAGCCATCTGAAGTGAATTGTTTCTTACATCATTCTGAGAAGAAAATTGTAAAGTATCATAAGCATAATTACAAATAAATAGCAGAATTCAGGAGTGTTTAGAAAATTACTCATGAAGAATTTTACATATTCAAAGACAGTATCCCAGGTATACTGTAATCTGAAACACTGCTAAAATTTAGTGTTGAATTAGAACACTGCATTAGAGATATATCCTGTTAAATAAACCATTCAGGAACTCTCACAAAATATAAGGCCATGCCCAGATGACCTGAAAGTTTCGAGAGAACTAATCTAGCTAAACAACAATACAAAGTACAGCATGAACATCAGTGGCTGATGGTTAAACTTCATTGCCATTTACAATAATTGATCGACTTAGCATGCAGCATTACCTTTTTCTTGTCTTCATCAAGTTTTTGTTTCTCGCGTTCAGTTAGCGCCTCCCTTTTGTTCAGTTCTTTGCTCCAGCAATCTAGTTTCCTTTTCTTAATTTCCAGGTCATAATTCAATTTTTCCTGCTCTTCAAGAATCCTCCGGATATTTTCCCGTGCCACCCTCTGCAGCTTCCTTGTTTCTGATGGAAAAAAAAGTGAGTTTTACATAATCATAGAGCCAAATACCTGGAACTATGTTACTGAAGGTTTGGCATTCTGGTTCTTTCTGATCCTTGAAGTTAATATCCACAGTAATCAGAAAAACATCAAGTTAATATCCTATTTAAAGAAATATATGTGTTTAACAATTAAAACTAACTTAGGAATTAATCTATATTTGGTTTCATGTTTCATCAATGAAAGAAAACCCCTAATATAAATTTGCTATTTGGTCTAAACAGCTCAGAAAAATTTGGTTATTTGTAAACAAAGGGATCAAAGTACATGGTATAAAGGGATAACTATACTTTGGTTTTCAAACCCTTTAGGAAAAACACCATATGAAGCATTCTGAAGTTCTGTGCTACAGTAGAGTTCAGGCTTTGCCATGGAAAACACTCTTATTAAAGGTTTAAACTCTCATGAGAATGGTTATTATTAATTATTTTTTTGGCAACATGAAAGTTCTAATGAACCACAAACTAACTAATATATATTCACATAAACTTTGAAATGTGTTGATTAAACACTGACTAGGAAACATCACCGAAGATTATGTATTCTTCATTGTACTAAATTTTGTTTTCGCATTTAAAATAAACTAGTAAATATAATAATTGTAACTTGAGCAAATAATCATAAACAACATTTTACAAATGGAATTATCTTCAATAGTTAGATAAAGATTATCAACTACATAAAAGATTTGATTTTAACAAGAGTATTTTTGGTAAAACAAATTTTAACAGGTCACATATTGTGCATTGAAATTATGTGATTTAAAATAAGGGCATTCAGTTTTTGCAAAAACCAAAAAGATTTATTTAGCTTATGAGCTTCACTTGAAAGCTCCAAAACCCAAGAGCTTGATTTTAGAGCTTAAGTGCTAAAAATGGAGGCAAAACCCTTAAAAATGATAATCCACCATGCACCACTTTTGTCAACAACACCTCATTGCTTCTTTTAAATTGCTACAAGAGTCTGGACAGCACTTCCAAATGCACTCAATGTTTTGCAATTAAACATATGCACAACAACATAGAAAAACACATACAGACCAACTGTAAGAGAGGAACTAACCTTCAACAAAAGCATAGTGTAGTTTGTCCTTCTCTCCAAGCATCCTACTTAAAGACATTGTTTTTTCATTGTACTTGTACTGTAGTTGATGCAAATTTTCATTTGTCAAATCAATTTTATTGGCCAAGTCTGCAACTACATTGTTCTTGTTTTCAGCAGCTTCCTGGAAAATATCATCAAAAGTTCTTAATTTTCCTTCCTGGCGGAGAAACTCCCCAATTGGTCCCACAGATTGATAATCATCAGCACGTGCACACCAACCATATACATCTGAACCAGGATGGTCTTTCCTTTCATTCCAGTCCCTTTTACTGTAATGCTCCGCTTCAAATGCTTTTTCAAATTCTGTTGCTTTCACGAACCCGTTCCAATCATTACTGAACTTCACTATTGCCTGTCCGGTTGGATCACGTTCATTCCAAAAGGTATGAACATCCAATGGTTTATATTTAGCAAACCTCTTAAACCAGTACTGTTTGTCAAGCAAACTTTTTCTGTCTTTTGTATCAGGCACTACATTAACTATGATTCCCATCCAAGGCCATACATAGTGATTGTCTTCAGATGTTTCAATCTGAGATTGCTGTACACCGGGATTTTGTATTTGATGATCTGCTTCACTAGCAAGGTCTTCCTCCAAATACTTTGCCAAGGCCAGGTGATTTGCCTTTTGTATTCCACTTCTATTAGCAGATCCTTTGCTTACTCCTGCAGCATGCTGAAGCAAGTCCTTGAACTTGTAATCTTGCTTTTTCTTCCCAGCACAGAAGGGGCATCTTAAGGTGCCATTTACAATTACTTTGTATTTTCCCGTTTTCAATTGTTGGTATGGCTTGTCCACATATTCATTTATCTCTGAATCACTGACATCTGACTCTTCTTCAGAACTTATATCCATCTGACAGAAACAATAACGACAAAGATACACCAAAAAATGGTTCTAACTCAGAAAGCACGAGCAACTTTGGTATCAGAAAATATAAATTCCACATATGCAACAACAATGAACAACCAAAAGCAGTTTTATACCCAAAAAGGATAGAAGTTTGGAGGTAGGCAAAGAGAGAAATCTAGTGGAAGTATGTTGGAAGCATGATACACAAAACATTTTATCTCTCTCCCTCTCTCTCTTTTTTTTTTGAATAAACACAGAATATTATCAGTACATGTAACCTTGAATGATGATTTTATGTATGATTTCTATTTATACAAAGTTTACAACTGAGAGTCCACCTTGAGGTGGAACTCATTTAGGAAACAAAATCTGAATCTTGTTATAATCTTATCAAAATTACACATTTTGCAAGGCCAGGTCTGAAAATTTCTTATTGAGAAACTCATCACCTCCACCATTGAAACTGTTCTATTTTGATATTGGACCGAGTATAAATAAAATTGTAAAAATGTTTGAAGGTCTCAAAGTCTTGGGATTTTTTTTCAAATAAACTACCCACACAAATCGAGTGAATTCATAAAAAAAAAGTACATAATATCGAGAGCCTGAAAAGGAAAGGAAGAAAAGATGTCTAAACATAATTGAGTATTATTTCAAAAGAATCGAATACATTGACATGAGATGTAGGAAAAGATTGTCTAACATTCTGTTGTCTAATAATTCTTCTTCATCTTTATTAGCTCAGCAGCATCCAAATACATAGAGAATGATTACAAAAGTTATAGACCTACAATTTAGGAGAGAATTGAGTCTCCTAGGAAGAAAGAAAATCTACCCTGGAAATTATGAGATCCGAATATAAGTCTATATCATAGATTTTGGGCTCCTACATTCCAGGAAGTAAATCTTCCTACAATCAATCTTGTTTAGGGACTTCCACTGGAAGTAAATCTTCCTAGAACCAATCTTGTTTAGGACTTCTACACTCTCCCTCAAGCTAGGCATAGATTTTTTTTTTCTTTGAAATAAAAGAAATATATTATTATAAACAAAGTACCAAAAGGGTACCGCACATATACAAAATAATTATATATCTATCAGGTGGTCAATGACTATCCCAATCCTTTCTAAATCTCCCATGTCATGATCCAACAAAATAGAACTAAAAGCGTTAATCCATCTATTTCTAGTTTTTACAAAATC